AATGTGATGTGATGAACAAGAGCCCAGGTTCTTTTCAAGCTTTCTATCAGTGCCCTCACGGATTAATACCGTTAAATGATCGGACATCAGATTGCCATTGCCAAGTCTCGCTGTTAGCTGCCCAACTAACAGACTTATGTATTGACCGAAAGGATTCATACAAACAAGACGATAGCTGATGCAAAATTAATCTTATTAAAGTGCAAAAAAGTGATGTGCCTCGTTACTGTTCTTTCTCACTCTTTCCCTTCCTTTTCTCTTCTCTTTAAATAATAAGTGAAAAAAATATGAATACTGAGCATGATTCTACAATTTAGAAAGTAATAAATTGTAAAAAGCAAAAATCATCGCATAGCCCGGTTTTTTATCATTATACATATTCTATAATTTACTTTTTGGTGCCACTGTATGTCGCGCTTTTGTCGAAATGTTGTTACTTTTTCTATTATTCGTTTTTTTTTTTTCTATTATTTCTTTCACTTAAATTACAACATTTGCCGAGTGGAACAAGAGTTGGTATTTTTAAATTTCACAGTTAACAGATTATTAAAATAGGAGAGTGGGATAGCCAAAAAAAAACGTAAAGCTGTTCTATCAATTTAAGTTTCTGTGATAAATTTTGTGACTATTACTGGTAAAATATTGCTTCATCAGCAAGCGCTTATACGGCATAAAATAATGATTTTGCTAAATCACTTTTGATGAAAAATGAAAAAAAAATCACTTAAGAAGTTGAAAACTATAAGAAAGAAAACCAAGTTGAGTTCTTGCTTTGTTGTGGTTGACACTGTAAAAGAGTAGGAATCTTAAATTAGTAAAATGCAGCTAAAGCAATAATGAGGATATAACTAGATGGCAGACAGATTTTGACCAGTAGGAGGAAACATACTCCTATAAGCTGTTTAGGACAATGTACAACTGTTGGTTTTAGTAAAAGTAGCCTGCGATACTGATACTCAGGTAAGTGGTGACAGTAGTAGATGAGGTTTGATGATATTTGACCAGAAAGGTCTATGAGCAAAATTTGAAAAAAAAGTACAAGTACAGAAGCTTTGGAATTCAAAAGTAAGGTTAGGAGCAGCTTAAAAAATTTAAATTCTACAAATTTAAGGTTGTAAAATATTGACAAAAATTAATTTTTACTTGAATTTATATCCGTTTTCTGCATCTTTGTTGCGGATCGACCACCGGTGGCGAGAAGACAGGAGGAAGTGAGAAAACCAGAAAAGGGAAGAAATAGCTGCTTCTCAGCGCTCTTCTCAGTTTCTCCTCTTTATTCCCTCCTTGTCCTATACAGAAAATCAACTTTATTAATTATTTGTTTTTGGCTTTATCAGTGCTCTGTATTATTTTAAAAAGTTTTTGTGGTTTGCTGTTAAATAATCGGTTATACAGTAGCTGTTTTCATAAAAAATTTTTAGGAATTTTACGTAATTGAATAATCAGCTTATATTTTTTCTACATTGTTCACAACACCTCAGTTTTGCCAAAGTAATATCAATTCAGTCTTTACTGCATTTCATTCGCAAATGTTAATGTTTGTCACAGTTTAAAACCAGTTTAATTTAGCTAAATTAGTGACGGAAAGTAGCCTTATGATTAGTGAGTAACCGGATAAAAACTTGAAAGTTGTTGCACAAAAGTGTGTTAAATTTTGAAAGTACTATTGGAAACAATTTTTTGGTTTGTTGAATTCAATAAAACTGTACCTCTCTTTACTGTTGTTGCACAACTGTGTAAATAGAAAGCATCTTTTCATTGAACAGTTGCTAATCGGTGGTCCTTTTTTTTTTGACATATTCTTAAAAATTTGGTTGATAGTCTAGAAAAAAAAAATTTTTTTTAACATTATTTACGTAAGTTAGTCTTCGACAGCAATCTAAGCAAAAGTTTAATTTCTTTCATCCTTCACGACATTCTTAACAGTGTCCTAAAAATTATAAAAATTTGACGTTATTATTGTTGAATTTTGCATCTGTTAAGTCATTTGTTGGTTTTGGTAGCCAAATTTTATTTTCTTTTAACTTGAGATAAATTTTTTGACAACATAATACGCGATGATCGTACAGTGCTTCAGAGTCAACTTTAAATAGCTTCGGTTTTTTTTTAGAGTCTAAAATTTACAACGATATACAACAGTGCAGTTTTGCAGTTTTTGAGGGTTTTAAGAATCAGCTTCATCGGAACTTTTTCAACATTTAGAGTTTAGCATCACAAGAAAAAAAAAAGTAATAAAATTAAGCGACTAAAAAAAGAAAGAACAACCTAACTGATGTGTCGTTAGTCAAAAAGATTAATAGTAATTGAAATAAAACAATAAAAATGAATAGTTTATGCTGTGCAATCAGTTTGAACTTTTTTTTTTAAAACTTGCAGAAAAAATTTTCATTAATAACAGCAGCTAAATAACTGTAGTAATGTTTTCAAACATTGCAGCTCAAAACAAAAAAAAAAAAGAAGCATTAAAAAGTTTAACACATCTATTGAAAGAAAGAAAAAAAAACGGCATTTAAAAATACAAAAAAGGTATAAAAAAAACTGAGAAATGTTTGCAGATACTGAAATCTGAAACAAATTTTTTTTTGCTCCTTTTTTTTTCTATATACACTTCTTTTGTTTAGAAGTTTTGAAATGGTTAACTCCGTGAAAGCCTTTTTCATTGCCGGCCACAAAAATAATACCGATATCATTGAGCAAAGTTTAGAAGCAAATTT